AGCATTTCTATACAGCAAACTAGATGAAGATATTTACATGGAGCAACCTGAAGGTCTTAAAGATAATTCAGGAAGAGTCTGTAAACTCAAGCAAAGTCTATATGGACTTAAACAAGCTTTAAGATGTTAGAACAAACACTGCTGAATTTTAGAAAAAGAAACATTTCAAACAAAACAATGCAGATACTTGTTTGTTCATTACAATACAGGAAGGGAAGAAACTCATACTTGCACTGTATGTTGATGATGGACTAGTTGCAGAAACCGATAAAGAAGAACTAAAAATTTTTGAAAAAGAATTAGTCAGAATTCAAGATAACATCTAAACCTGCAACATATTTTTTGGATTAGAAATTAATCAAGATGAGAAGGGAAATATTAAAGTCAATCAGTCATCGTATACAAGAATGATTCCTGAAAAGTTTGGATGAGCCAGTGTAAACCCTGTAGAACTCCGATCACAAAATCTGAAGAGTTCGATGAAAACAAAAATGAATACGAGGAAGTGAAATTTCCTTACAGATCAGCAGTTGGTGCATTGATATACTTGATGACGGAAACAAGACCAGATATTGCATATGCAGTTGGAGTAGCATCCAGAAGTTTGGAGAAACCCAGCAAGTCTATTGTAATACAAGTCAAGCAAATTTTCAGATATTTGCAAGGCACAGCTGATGTCGGTATTGTTTACAAGTCTGGTCAAAACAATACACTAATAGCCTACAGTGATGCAGATCATGGAGGAGATAAATTTAGTTGAAGATTGATATCAGGTGTAATCTGTATGTTTGGAGGAAGCGTGGTCAGTTCAAATTTCACTTCCTCGTATTCATTTTTGTTTTTATCGAACTCTTCAGATTTTGTGATCGGAGTTTGGTTTAGCCAACGTCAACCCTCAGTTGCGATTTCAACTACCGAAGCAGAAATCGTTGCCGCAAGTGAAGCAGCTCGTGAAGTGATATGGCTCAAACGATTGTTTAACGACATTGTAGATCTAAAGAAAAAGCCAGAAATTTTGTCGACAATGAAGCAGCGATTCGTTTCGCACATAATCCCGAACTTTACAGAAGGACAAAGCATATCCACATTAGACATTTTTTTGTCAGAGAAAAGGTTGCATAAGAAGAAGTTTCAGTTGAACGAGTTGCGACAGAACTTCAAGTTGCTGATGCTCTGGCAAAACCAATGATTGGACCAAGACTTAAGAATCTGATGTGTGTGATGGGTCTTCAGAACATTTATGTTAAGGTCATCTAATGTTTTAAATAAAATGAAAAGGTGTTAAGTTTTATGTTTTATTTTAAAACATTATGATTTACGATATACATTTATTTTCTTTGGACTAAATGTTCTTTGCTTTGTATGTAACTTCACTTTTTCCTTTTCTGTGTTCCCGGTTGATAATAAACAAGTCAAAAACGTTTCCAAGTTTATTTCTCTTCTTTTAATTCCTTTCAATATTATATTAATATCAATTAATTTAACAATCTACGTGACAAGAAATTTAACATAGACGTTATGCAGTTGATGCAAATTTATTTCATTCATCTAACAATTTCAATATCAATTTCTAACAATATCACAAAAGTCGATAAGATTAACAATAAACTATTCAAAATTGGTTTAAACATAATAAACTCCTAACAAATATGTCAAAAACCTGCTACATAGTTTTGAGAATGTCTATTCTATATTAATAAAGCTGACCTAAAAAGTTTTAACTATAAAGGTTTAACAGTTAAACTTTAACTCTTTAAAATAACTTGTCATGGGCTGTACAGGTACACATACTGGATCTGAAAAATTAATTAATTTTGTATTTACCTAAAAAAAATTTAAATTTAAATTTAAACATAGTATATCAGCGCTCTAAACGTGAACTAACTGAGAAACCCTTTTGTAGTATCTCAAATTTGGTAAAAACTACGCGAATTTGTGAAGGACATTGTTATACAGGAATAAATTTCTTAAATGCATGCAAAATAAATTTACATTTCAATAAAAAGCCCTATTAAGCATGCAGACACTTTTGTATATGTTTGATTAAATGATTATTGAAAAGTACTTGAATAATTTAATTTTAAAAATGTTTATATTCACTATCATTGTGCAGGTAACTTTTCTTCATTGTTACTACACAGTCAGTCTCAGAGATTCAAAAAGAAGCTAATAATTACAACAGTACTGGTTAGTAAATTAATATATTGTACAAAGAAACATTTAATAAATTGACAGATGAGTGGGTGGATGTATTGATGGATTGGTTTGTTATTATGATTTAGAAAAACTAGATTTACGAAATAAAAAAATTGCAGTAAAAATTTTTAAAAACTCTTAAAAGTTACAATTAAGCTATTATTTAAATTTAACAATACAAAAAATATAGTTTAAATTAGGAAACCTGATGCTTAAAATACCTATACTGGCCCTCAAAAACACCTGAGCCCATTTTCAGTGCGCTTTAGGGACTGGCGTCATTCTTTAGTTTTCATCAAATTTTACAATTTTCATGTTTTTTATAGTTTATTAACAATTTTTATTCATTTTTTGAAGATTTTGTTTATTTTGTAGTCATTTTATTACATGGATCAGCATAATATTTCAGCATAGTTAATTTTTTTCGCGTCATATTAATAGTAGCGATCAGAGACCATGTCTTCACTTGGATAAAACTATCTTCGCAATTCTAGAAAAAGTAATTTGATGTCAGTAAGTTTTTTTTAGCTAGTCAGTTAGTTAGGTTCCATAATTGTAATGTCTCGTCTTATTTCATCTTTCAATTCTCCAATTACGGCTTTAAAATAATTGTAATCATTTTTATCAACGTCTGCTGTTGAAGCTAACAAACTCATTCAATCAATCAATCAACCAACCATCCAACCAAACAACCAATCAATCAATTAATCAATCAATCAATTAGTTTATTAAGCGCTATTTCCGCAATGTTCAACAGCGCTCCTCAATGAATTTTGCGAACAGATGGGTTTTGAGATTCGCTATGAACTTCGTAAGTGATGGAGAAGTAAACAGAGGAGGTAGAGAGTTCTAGAGAAAAGGGTCAGAAAAAGCAAATGCAGATTTAGCAAAAGAGTTAAGAAAAAGTGAGAACAAGAAGACGATCGTAAACCGGGGTGTTTAGGTTCAATTAACATGTATGATAAGTACTTAGAAAATAATAATTTAGATTGAGAGTTATACATAAATGTGCAAATTTTAAAAACTGTTCTATATTTTATAGGTAGCCAGTGCAAGAGAACAAGATATGGAGATATATGAGAAAAAACGATGCACGAGCAACTAGACGAGCAGCAGAGTTAAAAGCTTTACTTAAAGGATAGAGTGTAGAATCAGTAAGATCATAGTAGAGCGAGTTACAATAATCAATCCTAGATAAGACTAATAAAGTAACAAGAAGGAGAAGAGTAGGATCGTCAAGAAAAGGCAATAGTTTTTTACTCTACGTAGATGAAAGTAAGAACTTCTAGCAACACTATTAATTTGAGAAGAAAGAGACACCTAGAATCAAAGATAAAGCTAAGACTACGAAACTTGTGAAAAACATCAAGAGTTTTAGAATTAGGTAAGATAATAGAAGGAATAGTAATAGAGTGTTTAGATTTATTAAAACAAATTAATTCAAATTTAGAAGGATTAAGTTTAAGACACATAGAGTCAGACTAAGCGATAATTGAAGAAAGACGGAGAGATAGATTATGAAGAACACTATTGAGATTAGATGGAGGAAAAGAAGTATAAATTTAAGAATAAGTTTTGTCGACCAAATGTTTTTTAAATATTTCGATTTAAGGTTGCTAATGTTTTATCGCTCTAGAATACTTTGTTTCAACTCTCGATATGAACTCTTCACGTGTGATGCGAGTGAATTTAACCGATGAAAAACCGGATCTCAAAATAATAAACCTAAAAGTGCAACAATGGTTTTTATATTTTCCGAACGGTACATATTGTTTACATTTTTATCACTGTCTGGTATACAATTTTTGAACGTTAACTAATTTTTGAAATACTGCCGCTATGATAATAATGCGTCTTGTTGATTGCTGTTAAATGGTTTTGAATGTGTAGGATCATTGAAGGGTGGTTTTTGAAACATCGGTTGTCCTACCGGTTGCATTGTTGTATGTACTGCTGGTGTTGATGTGTAGTTTTTATCTGGGGGTAACTGTCGTACGTGTTTCACGATCGACTGAATCAATTCGTGTGCAGTGCGTCAAAGTAAAGAAGGCGATGAAAGCTATGGTTGAATAGGTGGCAGCGTAACGTGCCGTTGTTGTGATATTGATGTTGAGTTGATGGTGGTTGTCGAGGTTGCCATTGTGAAGTTGGATGTATCGATGATCAAAATACTATCAGTATTTAAAAAAGGTAATGATCAAAAAACAAATAATTATCGCCCCATTGCTTTGCTTTCACTTGTTTCCAAAATTTTTGAAAAATTAATGTATACAAGAATGCATTCATTTCTAAAAAAATTTAACATTCTCAATAACAATCAGTACGGGTTTCGTACAAATCACTCTATTGGACTAGCAATCTTGGAGTTCACTCAAAAAGTAATGCGAAATCTGAACGATAAAAGTTTTACTAAAGGAATTTTCATCGATCTCACCAAACCATTCGACATTATCAATTACGAACTGCTTCTGAACAAACTCTCTGCAGATGCGCTATGCCTTTCTCCATACATAGTTTCACCTGGTTCGAAATCACCTGCTCCTAACGCGGCTTATCAAATTTCTTAGTAAATTCCATTAAAATTCTGATAAATTTATCTTCTTTACTACTTTTCTAATTTTTTTATTTGATAAATATTTATTAAAATAGTTTTTAAATCGTTATTTTTTACCTGTCCAGAAATAAATCTTTTAAAATAATTTTTAAAACATTATTTTTTTCTTGGCTTACAAATAAATCTTTTTAAATCACTATTATTCTTGTCTGGTTTTTTTAGTACTATGAAGCTGATGACAGAATCGTTGTCAAAGATATTTAACATGATTTTCCATAAAAAGGCTTGGGTCAAGAACGACGCCTAGATCAACAACTGGTTCTTTGAGATCATCCACTTTTTTGCAATCTGGTTTGAGATCATTCACTTTTTTGCAGTCTGCGCTGACTACCAAACCACATGTATTTAGTTTTATCGTGGTTGAGTTTTAGTCTATTTTCTGACATCTACTCTTCTACCGCCTTTATTGAATCTAAATCGGTAGCTGATAATTTGCTCATCGATTCCTGTTTCTGTTGAATGATGAAGGCAAAAGACTGATTGAAACTTTGAAAAAAGTGCGCTTGTGTTCAAATATCTGAAAAGCTGACTAGCAACAAGTCGTTCAATGGTTTTTGATATGAAAGTGACGTTCCATGGCAATCCAGACTTTTTTAACAGAGCTGAAACAACTGCAATATTTTGTGATTTAAGCATTATTGAAAATTAAATGCATTTTTGATGATAACATGATAAAATGGCAGCAGTGTGTCTAGCAATTTTTTGACAATAAACGTAGGCGTTGGATCCGAGCTACAAGATTTTTTTGGTGAATTACATTTTAAGTTTCCTAGTTATTGTGGTGTTTTGGAAAGTTGTGGAAACCTTCTAGATAACAACACCAACATTTTATACAACAATCAACAGCTCTACAACTTAAAAATCGCAGAAGCCATTTTCATCGAATCTGAAAAACCTTCCATCAACATCCAACAACGAATCCCAACAACATTCCAACACAAAGAATGAACAACAATAACATTAATCAGATCATATTATTAATGAAATAATAATAATAATAAAAACTATAATAATGGAAACCAAAGTCGTTAAATGTAAGAAAAAAGTAGTTAAAAATGTAATAATGTTCAATAAAAACCACAATGCTCATTGTCTAGGACAAGTACAAAACAGTAATGTATTCAAATTGGTTATGAAGTGTTCCTATTGCAATAAATGTCATAAGTCGATCTAATTACAGAGTCTTTTAATAAATGAAATCGGCCATGAATTTTTAATTACCGTCAAATTCAAAATATTGAAAAAGCCAATCTGAATTGTTTTTAGAAAAATTTAACAGTTCTTAAAGTCAGCGTTCAAACATGAATTCAAACTATTTTTGTATTTCAATAGTTTGTAGTTTCTTGATTTTAGCAGATTTGTTTCGTGACACACCGTTAACTCAATTTTGCGGTTGAGCAAAATGGCGACGTCTGGACGGATGGAGTTTAACAGTTGCGATATTGGTTGAACTCTCTCTGACTCGATATCTGCGAATATCAGGCAATCCTCCTGGCAACATGTCTTTAACCAATTAACGATCTCAAATAGAATTTTATTATGACGTTCTGTATATCTTGCCAGCGCAGCAATCGATCCACAGTTGGACACAACATATTTGTTAGTTTGCTTTGCGCTGCATAGAGGACATAGAGAATCTTGTGTCTTTCCCCATCTGACCATACTAATAATAATAATGGGAACAATCTTTTATTCAGCAATAAAAACAATGAAAATGGCAGTACAAATAAAATAAAATAATGAAATAAAATAAAATGTCAAATGCAATAAATAGAGTATTAATCTGAGAAGCTCATCATTCGAATCAAGGGAGTACGACCAGAGTTAATTAGTTTTGTTGAACCGCACATCCCTAATTTAAGCATGTGTCGACTTACTATATATAGCTTCAACACAAAGACAACAGCCCTTCTTCTTGCGACATTTTACGATCGAACTTCTCTTTGTCTAATTGCATTGCCGAACACGTTTTCATTTATTTTGTATTACGCAAATAAATACATTATAAACATTCTTACTTGTTGTTTCTTATATCTAAAGAAACCCACAACAAATTGGTGACCCCGGCGTGATCGAGGAAAACAAGCAACGAGAGTTTCCACTCCAACGCAGATCTTTCTTCGATATAACAACACAGGCAATGATCCCGGCAATGCAACCTCATCCATCACGTTCACCAACACACGCTGCGACGATCGAGTGGGAAAGTATTGTCGGATTGAAAATCCTAGCGATTAAAAAGACTAATAAATAAAACACCACGAAATAAGGAGTTGATTTGTGCGGGCTTTATAAGAAACTGCGATAACTATTCTGATAGGTATTCGGGCTGCTGATGAGTCCCCGGTAGGGACGAAACACGTGTCCAGCCTATTTAAACGAATACTATTCTTATCTTTTTCCACTCAATGCTCTTCTGGTTCGGTGTTCTCATCATCAATCCAACCACAACAAATTGGTGACCCCGAACGCGATGGCTTGCAAAACCACAACAAAGAGAACAACGACAAGAGCCCCACTCCAACTAAATACATTCAGCACGGCGAACCCCAAAGCGTGGTTTACATATTTCGAAAATGTGCTCAAGGGCCGGGGATTCTCAGAAGAAGATGAATAGTATCCCACGTTGGTTGAAAGTCTACCAATGGATGTCGTCATAGATGTAGAGACGGAATTGGCGTCGGCACGAATTTACACCTCACTGAAGCGCGTGTTAACGCGGAGATATTCGGTCTCAGACGAAGAAAATTTGCGCACGCTGCTCTGAGGCGTGACCATAGAAGACAGAACGCCATCACAACTATTGAGGCACATGCAAAGCCTGTGGGGGGGGGCAAACAATAGAGACGAAAGCATTTTGAAACAATTGTGGTTGGACCAGCTACCAACCATCCGCAATACAAATGCATCTAGCAGTCTCAACCGACGAGACGCTACAAAGGTTAGCGACCATAACTGACCGAATGCATCAAATATCCAATCGAAATGGTTCTACCACCATAACACACAACGCCTTAACAAAATCTGGTACCGAAGAGACAACAACTAAGAGAGATAAGGTGTTTGCATTCAGGCGCAAACATCAACAACAACAACTAACGAAGACAAAATTCCCATCTAGAGCAGCAGATGGTGAGGAGACAGATGTTTGCTGGTACCATAAAACGTATGGGGACAGAGCAAAAAAGTGTGCGAGACCATGCAACTACAAAGCAAAAGTCGCCAAGTCGTCAAACTACCAGGCCAGTTGCTAATGGCGGCGGCAACCTCTGGCCACAACACTTTTAGTCGCCTACATCATGTACAAACATCAACAAACATCAACAAACAAAAGTAGTGACAAACAACAACAAACAGCCGCAAAAACAACAAGACACCACATCAACATTCAACAAACCGTGTCGCCTTTTTTACGTCACCGATAACATTTCGAAGACAAGGTTTTTGGTCGCCACAGGAGCCCAGGTAAGTATCATACCTTCACGACAACACCTCCGAAGACCCAAATCTGACTACAAACTGCAAGCTGCAAATGGCACCACTATCGACACATTTGGACAACAGCTCGTAACCATCGACCTCGGTTTACGACGTAAGTTCAAATGGGTTTTCATCATTGCAAACGTCACACAGGCAATATTGTGTGCCGACTTCTTGTCACACTTCGATATTGCAGTCGACATGAGGAGACACAAAATTGTTGACAACATCACGACGTTACAGATACAGGGGGTTGTTGAACGCTCCAATATAATCTCGGGCGTCAAACCATACATTGCTTCGGACAACAACTTTGGTAAAATCATTGACAAATTTCCTAAGTTAACGATGCCTGTCAACAACAACAAAAATTAAAACAAGATACAACACCACATTGTGACTTCTGGACCACCCAGAGAAGTTGTGAGCCGCCAAAGCCGAATTCGAATACATGTGTCAACTCGGAATCATAAGACCGTCAAACAGTCCTTGAGCATCACCATTTCATATGATTGCAAAGTCATCAGGAGATTGGAGGCCTTGTGGAGATTACCGCCCACTCAACAACAGGACCACACCTGATCGATATACAGTTCCACACATCCATGATTTCGCTCACAGTCTGGAACAGGTGCGATGGTTTATGAGGCTAGATCTCGTACGGGTTTACCACCAGATACCGGTGGCAGAAGAAGATATCCAAAAAACAGCAGTGACAACACTGTTTGGTCTGTTTGAATTTTTGAAGATGCCGTTTGGACTGAGAAATACCGCACAGACTTTCCAAAGGTTCTTCGATAGTGTTTTGAGAGGGCTACCTTTTGTCCACGCATACATTGACGACATACTAATAGCCAGCTAAACCCTTGAAGGACACAGAAGCCATGTAGAACAAGTCCTTCAACGACTGCAAGACAACGGACTAACTATCAGCCCATCCAAATGTGAATGGGCGAAATCATCCACAACATTCCTGGGGCATCAACTCGACAGCGAAGGCATTAGACCCCTCGACAACAAAGTACAGGCAATCATCAATTTTGCTGAACCAACGACTGACAAGCAACTACGCCGATTCATCGGAATGATCAATTTTTACCGCCGATTCATCCCTAAATGCTCAACGATATTGTCACCTCTCACTAACATTTTAACTGGAAAATCAAAAACTATAAAATTTAACGAAGTGCAGCAACAAAGTTTTAGAGAGGCCAAGCGGCAACCAAGTTGTGGTACGTTCAAGAGAAAGGCACCTTTCAACTTTTTACCGACGCTTCAGACGTTGCTGCGGGAGCAGTACTAGAACAGAAAAATCAAGGGATTGCAAGGCCCATAGCCTTTTTTTGCAAAAATTCAATCCAACACAGACCCGCTACAGCACATTTGGTCGAGAACTGCTGGCAGTGTATTCAGCTGTCCGTCATTTTCAACATTTCCTCGAAGGTCGAGAGTTTACAATATCCATTGACGTTTGCCTTACATTCAGATTCAAATCGTTTAACACCAAAAGAGATCAGACACCTGGATTACATCTCACAGTTCACAACAGACATTCGACACGTGAAAGGAGAAAACAACATTGTGGCTGATGCGCTATCACGTACAGAGGTAGCCACGATAACGCCAAAAGCAATTAACCTTGAGGAGATGTCGAAAGAACAGGAGGATGATGCAACACTCCTTGACAACATAGACTCACTAAAAATCAGCATAATTCCAGTCAACAACTCAAGAAACAATATCGTCGTCGACACCTCGTTAGGCACCCCTCGTCCTCTAGTTCCAACAAGCATGCGGAAATCAGTTTTTCTGAATTTCCATTCCATGTCACATCCAGGAGCGAAAGCAACATCGAAATTAATAAATTAATTAGATCCAGGTATGTTTGGCCCCACATTGATAAAGACATCCGCAACTGGTGCAGAGAGTGTCTGCAATGTCAACGCAGCAAAGTACATCAACATACAGCTTCACGTCCAGCAGAATTCCCTCTACCAAGCAGCAGATTTCAGCATGTACACATCGATTTAGTCGGACCAATGTCTTCATCAGATGGACACACACACATTTTAACGTGTGTCGATCGTTTCACCAGATGGCCAGTAGCAATCCCCATCAAAAATTTTTTAACGGAAACAATAGTAGATAAATTATTTTCAAACTGGATTTCGTTGTATGGAGTCCCAGAAACCATTACAACAGACAGAGGCAGCCAGTTCACATCTTTTTTTTCAAGAGATTCACCCAGTTACTAAACATTAAACATATTCACTCCACCGCCTACCACCCAGCAGCCAACGGTATGGTGGAACGATTGCATAGACAGCTTAAGGCCTCACTTACGGCTCACGGTTCAGACAAATGGACGGATGTATTACCAGTGACACTATTAGGCATTCGTGTAACGGAGAAGGAAGACCTAAAGTTGTCACCAGCAGAATTTGTTTACGGCACAACACTCCGCCTTCCCGGAGATTTTCCAAACCCACGGCCAGAGACAACTGATGTACACACCTATGCATTAAAACTCAAATGCTGGGCGGAGACCCTAAAAGCAACAAAACCAAGAACAAGTACAAACGTGAGTTACATTCCAAAAGACCTCTTCACTACAGAACAGGTCTTTATTCGTACGGATGCTCACCGCTCACCACTACAACCTCCATACGAGGGACCCTACACAGTGGTAGAACGACACCCAAAATATTTCGTCATTGACAAAAAGGGGCATAGGGACACGGTGGCAATAGACCGCCTCAAACCCGCATACTCACCGGCACCATCAATACCGTCACCCATGCCAACGACCACAGCGCCGTCACCACCTTCTACAACACCTTCAACAAAATTAATTCCGTCGTCGAACGACACATCAGCATCAACAAAAACGTCAACACTATCTCCATCAACGGACGAGGACATGCCAACAACAGAAACAGCTACGTCGACACAAGCACACCCATATCGATCCATCGACACCAACATTCCATCACCCCGGAGAACCACAAGATCAGGAAGAACAGTTCACCTCCCATCTCGATATCTTGATAAACATCGATCAACAGCTTGCGCTGATGATCTGGTAGGAGAATATTGTTGAACCGCACATCCCTAATTTAAGCATGTGACAACTTACTATATATAGCTTCAACACAAAGACAACAGCCCTTCTTCTTGCGACATTTTACGATCGAACTTCTCTTTGTCTAATTGCATTACCGAACACGTTTTCATTTATTTTGTATTATGCAAATAAATACGTTATAAACATTCTTACTTGTTGTTTCTTATATCTAAAGAAACCCACAACAGTTTTAAAATTGATTCATTTTAATTTCTGTCGCAATAGATAGCGTATGACGATGATATAGCAGAGTTTATAAGGTTATTGCAAAAATAACCAATCCAAATAATAAGTATTAGCAATAGATTAAATGATTTGAAGAGACCGAAATTAGATATTTCAAATGTATTTATTACTATTTTTAAATGCTTGAAGCTACGCAATTGCCAAAATGTTATAAAGCTACGCAATTGGCAAACAGATAAAAAAGTCAACACAAAAAAAAACAAAAAAAAGAAAACATTAAACAGAAAGTTGCATAGTTATTCCTAACATTGTCATTAATACATAGATCTAAAAATAAGTAATTTTTAAAACGATCGGTAGTGTTTGAAATACATACGAACATCAGATAATGTATAAAAAAAACCATTGTTAAACAAAACACATAATATATTCCATCAATAATTGATTGTTATATGAAAACAAAAATCAACAAATTAATTTATTGATCAATTTTTAAAAAACGCTTCAAGTCAACAGAGAGTAAATAAGTAGTTTGCGTCTAGAAACATCATAAGTTGGAGATGAGACAACTTCATTCGGTTGTGCATTCCACACTCGAACTAATCTGTTGAAGAAGAAATATTTGTTAGTATTATCGCTTGAGTTGCATTCACGAAGTCTCTTGCCATGACCACGAGTTGACAAATAATGAGATGGAACAAAATTATCTTTCAAATGTTGAACAGTGAGATTGTTAAGTATCTTGTATAAAAAACATAAATCAAATATCAATCGGCGATGTTCCAATGTTTGTATTTTGACAAAGTGTAAACGAGACAGATACGGAAGATGGTGGATTGAAGCAATGGCCTTAGTGAATCTCCTTTGAACTTTTTCGACATTAATAATTTGATATATATAGTCAGGACACCAGACAGTTGAGCAATATTCCAGTAGAGGACGGACATAAGTGCATAAAACCTTGTTGAGCAAATCTTTATCCTTGGATGCAAAACATTTAATAATAAGACGAGCACGAGTAGAAGATCTATGCGCAATGTTGTTAATATGATGTTTAAAACTTAGTTTATTATCAAATATTACACCTAGATCTTTAAAATATTTGACAAGTGTCAGAATGTGATTATCAATCACATACTGATTTATGGCAGTAACATTTTTTGAACATGATAGAAATGAGCAAAGAGAACATTTGTTAGGAGAAAGCGGTAGTTGCCATCTTATGCTCCATGCGATAATATCGTTAAGGACCTGTTGCAGTTGGAATGAATTTGATGAACCGGCATACAATTTGATATCATCAGCAAAAAGCAGCATAGAGACATGTTGAGATAAAAGGCAGTCTTCAATATCATTGATGAAGATGAGAAACAGGGTGGGTCCCAAAACGCTGCCTTGGGGTACCCCACTTGTTACTGCAACTGGACAGTTTATTTTGAATTTTGACTAACTGTGAACGGTTATATAGAAAATCTGTTAACCATCCGAGCAAATTTCCGCCGATGCCATACGCTTTTAGCTTACAGATTAGCTTTGTGTGGGAGACTGAGTCGAAGGCTTTTTGAAAGTCGAGATAGACTGTGTCGCATCTTTCCTTTCTTTGGCGAATTAATAACATATCGCTTAGAAATCTGCGGAGGTTAGTAGATGTTGACCTGGCAGGCAAAAAACCGTGCTGAAATTTGGATATTAAATTGTTGTTTAACAAATAAGATATTATATTGTTCTTGACTATTTTTTCCATAACCCCACAAGATGAGCAGGTAAGTGATATTGGTCTATAATTGCTGGGGTAATTGGTTGGACCTTTTTTATGGATTGGAGTAACAATTGCTTTTTTCCAATTTGTTGGTAGAGAATTAGTTTTGAATGACGTATCAAATATGTGACACAATGGAAGAGCCAGACTTGAAGCACACATTTTGAGAAACCTGTTTGGTATTCCATCCGGGAATACCAAACAGGTATGTTGTATTTTTTAATTTGCGCAGAGTGAGATACACAATCTGTGGAGTGTGGAGTGTGAAGAAGTTAGTTTCATGGCAGACTGTCAACTCCAGAATTTCTAATGTTTCACCGCAATGTCTTGAATAAGCGTGATGGTGGTTGAAAATCGCCTGTCTCAAGATCAGCAAAAATGGAGACGTCTGGGTCGGCACTTGATTTTAACTTGTCGAGGATTATTGCTAAAATTTTGTTGTGTCTTGTTGTGTATCTACCCAATGCCGATGCTGAGCTGCAGTTGGATAACACATATTTATTGGTTTGCATATTTTTGCATAACGAGCACTGGGCAGTGGAGGACTTTCCTCATCTGGACAAATTGGCATTTGTCAGCACCTGTTGAATTAAACCTTTCCGGACAAATCTGAACAGAACCTCTGAACGGCTCATAATGTAACGTGACCAGTAAGCAATTTGAGCCGCAGGAATCTCATTGCTGATTGCTTTAACTGTTGTACCTTGACAACGGAGTGAGGTCAGTTGTGCAAATTCTGCACTTTGTTGTCGAAGCATTGTCGCGTTGAGCGTCGGTTTGATATCGCTTGAACCAGGGAGTTGGTTGTCAATCGCAATATTGTTGTTGAACGATTCGGACCACAAACACTTCAGTTCATCATTGCCATGTGCTTTTAAATAATTGCGTAATTTAATCCGCAATGATTGAGAGACCTAATGTTCAAGCCTCTCATTTTGTAGGAGAGGGACAGGCATTCCGCCACACATCATGGCTATCGCTGCTGATTGGCAGCGATAGCCATGATGTCACCAACTCAATAATGAGAGAGTCAAGGCAGTTGCTTATCCAAGTCAAGAAAATGTTGTATGTCCGCAACTTGAATTTGCTTATCCAAGTCAAGGAAATGTTGTATGTCCGCAACTTGAATGCCAATAGCGACGATAATATCTACGTAGAATTGGTATTTTCCAGTTTGCCGTAGTGTCGAGATTGTTTATCACTGACAACAAATTTTTTAGCTTTCCAAACAACTGTTCTTTAGCCTTGCTGTTGTTGCCTTCAAAATCGTAGACCCTGCCCAGATAAACAATGTGTCCACCTATATCGACCTGAGAAATTAGTTTTTCATCGATGGTCAGCATCGGAAGAAATTGCTCGTAGGAAGGTTTTTTTCCTCATGCCGAATGTTGAGCATTTGTCGATTTTTAGTTTCATGTCGGTTGCATTGCACCAAGCCCGGTTTACATCGATAAGTTTCTGTGCACTTTCAGTGAACTGGAAACTGTAATTGTGTAGTTAAGCGTATACAAATTCAATTAAGTTTATGATTTGAAGTGGGATGTGATGGTAATGCATGATAGATGAGATAAGGCCGTGACTGACTTCACCAAAAGCATTCCGCAAATCCAGGAGTGTGACAAGCATTGTTCTCTGGTGCCTTTTTGCATCGTTAATCATGTGAGATAAGAGCTGGGTATGTTCGGTCAGGCCATTTACTTTTGGGTAGAATTTTTTTGTATATTTTTGTTAATCATGTGGTTTGATTTGAGAAAAGGAAGATGATACATTTTGTGATGATTGGTGTCGTTTAAAATATTTGTGAAGTATTTACAGCATTCGTCCATGTCGAATAGTGGTCTTAGATTTTTCGTGTGTCAAATTTTTTTTTGCAAGACCACCAGAATCGCTGTCTAAGCTGAGTTGTAATGTATGATTTTTTCTCAGCACGTTTAGACATCTTCAACGACTGCAGCTTTAAACGAATGGCTTTACTTGTGTTGGTGATTTGATTGTCAAAGTGGTGGTTGTTGTTGCCAAGTACATTTAGATGTTTCAATTTATTTTTTATCTCTTTGATGCTTTTGTTTGTGATGTTATTCGGGTCAGTATGAGCCATAATTTTGAACAAAATAGTCGTATATCATTTTATGAAATGTGATTGTGAATTCGTCGATGTTGTTGAGACTTGGTAGAAGCTTGCGTTGTAGCTGGAAGAAGGCGTTGGCTTCGGGCCATTTGGCTGGCGTTCTCGGTAATTTGACGCCAGGGATAGCTGATTTCGTTGCTACAACCGTTTGCGCTGACGACGATGACGAAGATGGGTCGTGGTTTGGGGTTGAAGTTAATTCTTTTGTCGATGCTAGTGTGCTATCCATGTTGTTATCCGTTGAGTTTTGTGGTAGTCGAAGCGATTTGTACATTTTGCACGAACGTTGGTGCATAATTAGATCCTTATGGTCCTTGCACATTTTACCACAACAACATGATATTAAATTATTATTATTCAAATTAATAGAATGATTGTCAACAGAATTTGCGTTATAAATGTTTGACGAAATATTAACGTTAGAATTTACACTTGTGCGAACAACATTAGTATCGAAATATCCAACATTCTTAGTACAGCGCCAGGGGTGTCTGTCTACGTTTATGAATATTCTATCACAATGCGGACATTTATTAGAGTTTATACTATATATTCCATTAATTTAAAAAATTGAAATTAAATAAATAGCATAATAAAATCTAAATTTTAAAACTATCTCCATCATCTGCAGAATTATTCCTTTTCAAACAACCAATTTTAAAACTAATTGAACAATTAAAAACTAGTATTATTTATAAAAAACAGTGAGCTGTGCGAAAACGACAAACTCTCATGCAGTACATACAATATAATAATAATAATAATGAGAACATCCTTTTATTTCCATTCTAAAACATACATTGTAATTATAAAGTTAAAATAATAAAACTTATAATATAAATTATGTAGAAATTGAATTGAGGACGACTTCCAGTATTCAACCAGTAGTTGGTAAAGAATTGGGCGTAGAATGAGGCTTCTTTTAAATATTATTACAGAGATTTGGTTCAGAGGACAAGGAGATGCCTTTGATTTACATTTTTTTAGTTATTGAAAGGTGTTGAAAAGAAATGTAGCATGTTTTTGCAGCGGAATCCATGGTGGCAAGCAGTTGTTGCTATGCTGAGATTCGTTTAGCATATTTTGAAAATACTTTTGGCAGTGTGAAGTTCCAAACGCAGGCTGAACGTCACTTGCCTGTTGGAATATATTTTTACATGTTGACCAGAACAATTCAAAATGTTTTTTAAAGAAACGCGTTGATAAAATATCTAGTTGACAGGACTTTGTAGGTGTTAGAAGCATTTTTTCCTGACATCAGCCTCAGACAGCGCCAGAAAAGTCGAAAAAACTACTCGCATCAATGATTATCACTGTTTATACAAGACTGATTTTCAGTGTCAATCCCATGTTTTATCATTTTAATTTTTCATTAAAGAAAGTCCTGAACTGACCAGCATTGAGATCATTGAATTCAAAAGTCTCTGAAAGCAAAAAGGTTGATCCGACTCTGGAATCGTTTTGATGAGAAAGCTTTCGCTGAGCAGTCTCCAGTGTCCAGACCGTGTATAACTGATGATGTAAATGCAGAATTTGGTTTATTCAGTGACGAGGTGAGGAGAATAGTTGATAGGATTGTTTCTCTTGTACTGGTGCTGCCTGGGCGCCATCATGTTGCAGCGTGGTTTGATGATGATTGCAAGGCTTCAAAACGGAAATCTAGAAAAAAAGAAAGAATTTTTAGAAAAAGTCGTAAATTGTCTGTTAAAAATGATTGGATATTGGCCCTTAAAGAAAAAACTAAAATTTATTCAAACAAACGTAAAGTTTATTGGAAGAAAGTTGTCAATGAAAACAGTAAAACTCCAAAAAGCTTGTGGAGGGTGGTTAATAAAATTTTTCTAAACAGTGAAGGCACTAAACGCGAATTCAATGATCTCAATGCTGGCCAGTTCATGACTTTCTTTAATGAAAAAATGAAAGTGATAAAACAGGGGATTGACACTGAAAATCAATCTTGTCTTAACAGTGATGATCATGGATGTCAGCAGTTGTTTTTGACTTTTCTGGCGGTGTCTGAGGCTGATGTCAGGAAAGAAGTGCTTCATTCACCTACAAAGTCCTGTCAACTAGCTATATTTAGCTATATTAGCTATATTTTACCAACACGTTTTTTTAAAAAGCATTTTGAATTGTTTTGTCCATTTATAACCAGTTTGAATAATCTGTGCATGAGGGTAGGTTGCTTCCCCACACCTTGTAAACATGCAATTGTTGTGCCGTTGTTGAAAAAAGTGATGGAGATCCAGGTGACGTCAGTAATTATCGACCAGTCAGTAATCTGTCATTTATATCAAAACTCATTGAAAAGATGGTGTCGAGACAATTGCTTGCTCATTTGAATGATAATAATCTCATGCCTGCACATCAATCCGGTTTTAGACGATTTCACTCCACTGAAACTGCCCTGCTACATGTTTTCTTAGGGGTTTATGCTGAGATGGATTCTCAAAACATTTCCTTGTTGGCATTTTTGGACATGAGCTCGGCTTTCGACTGTGTCAATCATGAAATGTTACTGCTCAAGCTGCATCTAAATTTTGAAATAATAAATTGGCTCAGAAGCTACTTGATTGGCCGAACACAGCAGGTTTCGTTCAACGGGAGTTTGTCCTACGTCAGTGTGGTTCGCTCTGGTGTGCCGCAGGGATCTGTTTTGTGTCCTTTATTGTTTCTGCTTCATACATCTGATGTGCTGAAGATAATTGATTCCTATGATTTTAAAAGCCATGCATATGCAGACGACATTCAAATTATGTTATCAGGTAAACCGAAGTTATTTCAAGACGAGATTACGAGATTCATTGAATGTATGTCGGAGGTTAATCTGTGGATGTCGAGAAAGGAATTGAAGCTTAACAGGATAAAACTAAGTTTCTTCCTGGTACCTGGCAGCAGTTGGCAGACTTGGATATAAATTCAGTTTTTATGAATGATAAAAAAATAGATTTCTGTAAAGCAGTGTCGATTCTAGGTTTTTTAATTGATTCAAACCTAACAATGAAATCTCATTTTAAAATGATTTCTATATCATGCTTGGCACAGATTAGAAGAATGAAACAAATTCGAGAATCACTTGATAAGGACGCAATGCAGACTCTGGCGCATGCGTTGGTGCACTCACGTGTCGATTATTGCAATGGTTTTTTTTATGGACTCCCGGCTGGATCCATCAAAATTCTGCAATCGATACAAAACCTTACTGCCTGGATTGTGGCTGGATGTCGATGGTGATCATGCCACACCGATCCTGAGTGATTTGCATTGGTCGCCCATAAATAAAAGAATTGTTTTTAAAATCTCTGTCACAGTTTTCAAATCACTAAATGGTCTGGCTCCAAAATATTTATCAGATAAACTGAAATTAAAAACGTCGATCGCATCTGGTGTGCGTCTGAGGTCTGACGATTCGAACATTCTTGTGGTTCCTCATAGACAGCTAAAGATTGGATCGCGTGATTTTGCTGTGTCAGGCCCTGTCGTATGGAACGACTTGCCGTCAGCCCTCAGAATGCCTGGAATGAACATTGCTGAATTTAAAAGACAATTAAAGACATACCTTTTTTATTATAGTTCATCTCTTTTCATTCTCGCTATTTTGTTGTTAATATTAGTTATAATTTGATAGCCTTTGTGAAAACTGCTATAACGAACGCTATATTAAGTTTTCTCTTAATAATAATAATATATATATATATATATGTGTGTGTGTGTGTGTGTATTTATTTGTCTGTTGATTTCTTGTAGGAGTCGCCTTTTGTGATGCTGAAAACAAAACATTACCACATCTCAGGAAACGAAAGATTTGAAGGTTTTCTAATTGATGTAATTAACCACATACTGAGACCTTTAAACGTCGATTTTGAAATTAGACTAGCAAGTCAGAACAAGTATGGAAAGCTCAGAAATAGTTTTTTCTGGGATGGAGCAATTGGAGAAGTTCACAGAGGGGTTAGTAAATATTTATTGTTTTTATATGATTTAGAATGTTTTATATATTTGTTGAAAAATATTTTAATAACCACGTTTCACCATAGTTGTTGATTTTTAAAATAGAAATAATGAGACGTGTAAAATAACTTTATTATCTCAACAAATACTAACAAACAGAAAAGGAAAAGTGTAAAAGCTGGAGCAACTAAATAGTAATAATAATAAATTAAATTTAAACATATATGTATTAAAATTAATAATTAAACCTAATTAATAATCGTTAGCAAAAATGTTAAATGTTCAAAATGTTTGATAAAAATATTTAGTCTCCTACAAATTATTCGAATTTTCTTTTTTGTCAAACATTTTTTATATATTCAAATAACCTAATTACAATTACGCAGAATTAATTTTTACACAGTTTAGAACATCTGATTTTTCACAAACTGAACCTGAACCAAACGAACCAAATTTGAATCCTGTTAAAGATCAAACCAAACCCGACCTTTGAAATTACTAGCTACGAATTGAATTGAACAAAATGTCCTTTAATTAACCGAACCGAGTCGAATTTGCAATGTTACAAACTTTGCATTTTGCACATCTTTACAAAAAAGGACTGATCTTTGCGAAACTCAACGCGTAAAATTTATCTTGCGACATCCGATCCGTTAATACCCACAGTTACCTTTTGTGTCCTTGTAGACAAATTTTATGCAACTAGTCCAAAGCGGAGCTATCAATAGCTTACGATAATTTGAGTCTATTTAGCAAAATTTTGTAATTAACGGTGTCGAACGCATCACTGATGTAGAATAGAGCAATCATGGCGATGTATCCATTGTCGACTGCACCACACACATTCGAGCGTATTTTCATCAAACCCTGTTGACGATGTTTCCGAAATACCAATAGCAATTTTTGTAATAACGCGTTGTTGTGAAGATAATTTAATAGTTGCTGGCAAGTATGTTTGCCATTCTGTTAGAAAAAAACAGATTTGATATTGGTAGATCTACTTTTTTAACAACAGATTTTTTTTTAGAAACCCGGAAACTTAGAAAGCATCGGATTTTTTGCCAGACCTTCTAACCTCGGAGCCAATAAACAAAATCCGGGCAAATGCAATGTTCAGCCCTTCTTGGCGAGCATACGAACCAGCTTTTTCGTATACTTGCAGGTTTTCCTTCAAGCGTTGACTCATGATAATGCGTCGATCATGATATACTTATTAAAGAATGTCAGCAGGTTATGGAATAATACGGCAGTTTATGAAGCACCATTTGTACCATGTCTTTAGAGGTGCCCAGAGCCTGCATCTGCAAATAAATGTTTTTTAGCATTTTTTAAAAGCCGTGTGCAAAAAAGCGTGTAGCTTTTCAAATCTGCCGGCAAACCGTTTCACACACTCAAAGCTGACAAGTAGAGGATAGAGCAGATGGTCTGTTGTAGTAATCGCAGGTACAGCAGAACGTGATGAACGTGATGAAGCAAGTCAAACAGAAAAAACCCGAAAAAGGTACATTGTCGGGCAATAATAGGATTTGTCGGACAAAAACGAAAAGAGCAGCAATTTGGGCAGATAAACACGTATTACCCCAGACAAACTACTAACAAAAATTTGTTTTTTTTATAAATTAAAATTTAGAATAAAACCTTATTTAAAACTCTGAAAACATTGCTCCATAAAAATGTTAACACACCGGCAAGCTGGTGCAAAGATTCCAAACTCATCATTTTTAATAATTTTGATATTTTAATAATAATAAAGCAAAACAAAACAAAAAAAACAAAGCAAACTCATCATTTTTAATAATTTTGATAATAAAACAAAACAAATTGGTCTATGTTTAAACAAATGTTATTACCGATTTAGTTTAATAAAATAATATTAGATTGGCAACTAAACAATATTAAATCAAATTAAAACTAAATTAATATTTTGCTAATAAAATGTTAATATTATAATAATAAATATAAATTGATATATTGCTAATAAAAAATATATTGCTACAAAATTAATATTTTGCTAATAAAATGTTATTATAATAAATTAATATTTTGTTAATAAACAAATGTTATTACCGATTTAGTTTAATAAAATAATATTAGATTAGCAGCTAAACAATATTAAATCAAATTAAAACTAAATTAATATTTTGCTAATAATTTGCACTTAAATTTGAATGATTAAATAATAATTAGTATTTGATTGATGTTATTCAAATAAAAAAAATGTACCGTCGTTCGATTTGAAAGTTTTCATCTGTAGCCCGCTTGACTTACAAGTTCGGAGCTATTCTGTCTTGCTTTCTTATCATGTTGTCTGTGACTGTAACTTGTTACTTCGTTTTACCTGTAGATCTCTTCACCATATCTGAGACTTCAATTTGAAAATACCTCTATGGTTAAATCAGTAAACTAGCGTGTAGTGGATCTGTTGGGAACCCGTTTTCTTGCAACCTTTTGTACACCTGCAATCTGTGGTTCATCTGTCTCTGCAACCGTTGTAAATCTGCCTATGAGAGTGAGTAGATAGATTCACATGCTGAGTTAACCTGAGAGAGTTGATTAATGTTGCGAGTTGTTGATCGATGTCTTGAGCTGGCCTGAGGCGTTAAAGTCCCCGTACGCGGTAAATGCAAAATCGAAACTAATAACATACATATTGTTGTGATATTTGACGATCGTAATACCAACACAAATATTATAACTTCAAAGATCTCAATATTTCCAACACTAGTGTTGTAGCTTCCAACGATCGTCAAGTTACCGTTATTCCGTAAGTTCAAGATGAACACAACTGCTTCAAACGCAACTCTGTTGAACGTTTATTTGAACGCCAACAGTAATAGAAACATTAAACAAATTAAAATAACTACATAAATCACATTTACGACTTCACTTCAAACCTCGCTGGAAACCTGTATCTCATAGGATCTTATATAGGCTTCTTTTTACTATTCTTTACAATCCAAAAATTACAAATATAGTAAAGATAACAAAGATAACATATAATCAAGATAACAAGTAATATGGCGCAATTTAATAAGTGCGGCGGTTGTAGCAATATAATACACATAAAATAGACGGTTGTAGCAATATAATACACATAAAATAAGTCTAATTATATCAATAATTGCAGCTTACTTTGAAAATATGTTGAAAATGCATTTTTTACTTCAGTTTCAAGAATAAATTATAAAAATTCTAATTGTTTATAAATTTTTTGTAAGTTCTTGAAGGAAAAATTAGACAAATTGTCATTATTCCCGTTAAGCAATTATCCAATATTTAATATTGACTTACCTTTATTCAAGCAAATAAATGTTTGTTGTGTTGTTCTGTGTGCAATATCTCTCTAAAGTGGACGACATTCAACCAGGCGTTTGCAAAAACTGATGTCGATGCCCACAGTTTTATGTCTTGTTTTCAAATCTTAGTTACATCTTCAATGCGCCAAATATATCTCAGCCATCGGAGTCAACTCTATTTCAGCATTTTGTATATACTGAAAAAACCAGCACGATAAAGAATATTGGTGTCGGGTATCACCAAAAGATTTGTAATATATAGCGTAAGTTTCTTAAAAAAATTGTTGAGTCTTTGCTAGTTTCGCTGCCACATATCAGTGTAGCCTGCTGAGAAGAGTGGGGTTATAAACCAGCATCTTTGTTTAAAGTAAATGCTTTGAGTTTTCACGCAAGCGTTTGCAGTCTGCCAAGAATAGCAAAAGCTCTCCTATGCGTTTTCAAATGTCTCTATCTATGTTTTGAACCTATGAAATAGCGGATCATAAGTTGGTTGACTACATCGAGTTCATAGTTTTAAGTGTTTAAAAAAATAGAATAGCACATTTGTGTTCTATAACGCAAATTTTTTTCAAATCTGATTGTAGGTTCAAAGGCCTTCCAAGATTCATAAAACTAAGTTTTTAGAGTCCGTAAATAATGTTAAATGTGGGCAATCAAAACTGCATCATTAACAAAAAGCAACTCTCTGATCACAATTTCTTTAAGAACTTGGTTTTTAAGAACTATGTCACCGTCAGACCAGGTACGTATAAAAATTCCTTCTGCTATTGAATTGAAAACGTGTTTAAGAAGCATAATAGAGAATACATCGTAAAGCGTAAGAGCAAGCATACAATCCTGTCTTGCACTATTACTGATATAAAAAGAATTTGAATATTCTCCATGCCCTTTGTTCATCGTAGAATGATTTGGTCACACATAACAGTTTTGAAAAAATTTTAAAAATTCCATCTCTGCTAATCATATCAGATCAATGAATGTGGTGAATACTTAGTGGTATTTTTCATGAAATTGACGTAACGAGAAAATCATGTCAATTGTAGATACGTGAAATCAAAATCCTCATTGAGGTTTGGAATAGACGATTTAATTAGATAGTTAATTTCTGTAGACGAGACAGCAAAACTCGAGAAATGGTCTTGCCAACCATATCGAGTAACGAAATACGTCTTTAGTTCGGTCTTTAATATTAAATAGTCATCAACATTTCAGAGAAACTTTTCAAAAGTTATTATATGTAATATCAAAAAAAAAGCCTACGCGAAGTAAATTAGGACTGTGTCCTCAACTGTGATGGATCAGTGTTGTGACAATTTTTATCTCGTAATTGATAAAATTTTTAATGATCATGCGTCGATAAGATATCCAGATATCGTTCCACAAACAAGCCGTGGTTCGATGAAGATGCATTAAAGTCATTGAAATGCAAAAACTGGTTATATAAAAAGTACATTAAAAATCCTTTATTCCTTTATTTAAAAAGTACTTTTATCCATCCATCTATCTATCTGTCTGTCTGTTTATCTATCTATTTATCCATCTACCTATCCATCTATCTATTTTCATGATTTATGAAAATTTTTAAATTCAGTTATGATGGTTAACAAAAAAATTTACTTACTTCACAGACTGCTGATATAGCTATAGGACCACTGGTAGTTTTGGAAGAAGCTAATGAAACAATTGATTACACCGAGCCATATTTGAGTTTGAAGTATTCAGCATTAATTGCTAAACCAAGTAATGAATTAACAAATTCTAAACAGCCACTTCTAAAAGAATCAACACAAAAGTCACTTTCTTCATTACAACAATTACCGCCATTTTTACAAAAATGGAAAAAAAGTATATATTTTAACAATCACCGTAACTTTTATCATAAGCTATTAAAAAAGAGATCAAGTAGCTATAGGACAAATTATTTAGCAATCAAAGATCTGTCAAAACTTGTTGAATCGGGCATGACATGTGGAATGATCGAAAACAGTCATCCTTATACGCTATTCAATCGATCCACTTATGAAGATCATAAAGTTATTTTTTCAAAAATGTCTAACGCTTGGCCAGGGGCTTACGTTCAAACTAGGTTGCAAAGTATACAAAATATTTTTATCTTAATAATCTTTTAATTTAAATTTTTGTAGATATTATTCATTGAAAACATAACATTAAATTTTCTTTTTTTAATAATTGTAACATAAAGGCTAGAATTTGAACAGTAACTGTCCTTATTATTTGGTGTATAATAACGAGCTGACCATGGTACTTCATAGCGCCTTAGATAAAATGTTGATTTAATAGCAGAGTTTTATTGACTTGAATAAAAAACAAAGTGAAATATTTAACATAACATTTTTTTACAGATGTAAATCACCAATGTCAAACCATTAATCGTGTCTGAATTCAAATATTTAGCTGTCCCAAATTGCATGTAATGAGAATTGGCTTTTCTAAATCGATAAGCCAAAAAACTCCGCATTATTGGGAAGATATCGGCAGATATTGTGAAATAATTTTTTATCTATCCTGATTACCCCACTAAATTATTCTTCAAAATTTTACAATGATCCAATAAATGTCTAATAGTTTTTGCGATTTATCGACAATTTTCCAAAAGTTTATATTATTATCTCGATATATTCCTATTAATTTCAAGATGTACGATTATTTTTTGATGTCTAAATTTACATTCATGTTTATATCATACAAGCTACCCCCTACGTGAGTTGCAACGCTACTTAAAAGAAAACTAATGATCGTTTTAATACAAATAACCAGTTGCCCTTGTGTACATGTATATTAGACATGTACATGTATATTTCCAAACCGATAACCAAAAAATGCAAATGTCAGATACTACGTTTTCTAATTTCTGAAACCGTTATATCGGTATAAATTTTTAAGTATTAGTCAAATAATTATTTGCGCTACCGCTTAACTCATTCTTTTCTCATTCAAGATAATTTATCTTTAATGAATTTTCAGATTTTGATAGATTTTTATTTTTTTTCCCATTCTACAAAACCATTCTATGGAAAGGGGGTTTCCATACAAATCCTTCCTAAGAGTGAAGCATGTTTATCTTTTTTGCAATAACATTCATGACAAAACCACCTATCATTTGAAAAATTCAAAGCCAATCTGCTCGATTGTTTTCTAACCATAATTTTCCAAAAAATTTTATCCCCATTTTTTCCGAGGATGGGGCAAGTAAAATCTATACCATTGTTTTCCGTCGAACCCAAACACTAACTTTTATAAACAAAATTTTAAACCGTTTTCTAGACTAAATCTATCAAAAAATTGCCCACCCTTATCAAACCGACTCTTTCGGAGGGCGGAGTAAATTAAAGCAAAACCAACATTCACCGACGTACCTAAAAATCGTTATATAAGAAATTTAAAACGGTGTTTCAGTATTAAAACTTAAAGCCCCTTTTTAATATCTGAAGATGAACCGAGTTAAAACACGCAAACGATTTATACTACGTCTACATACAAAATTTCAAGCCAAATGCTTCAATAGTTTAGTTTTTGATAGATAATTTTAGTAAAATTTTTACTTTAAAATGTCTGCATATTTTTATAAAAAATACACGAACAAATATGCAATGAGGTTATCTCCAAAAATTGCTTAGTTGAAAACAACACAGTTTTGAAAATAAATTAATTAATTTTGTTAACCGAAAAGGCGATAAGTTCAGTTTTTTCCTGTATTGCTGAATTGTGTAATTGAAAACAAAAGGGTGTGTTTTGAAAATAATTAATCAACTCTCACGCATATATATATACATATATATTAGGGATGCACCGGATTCAGGTTTTTCAAATCCGGCCGGGGCCGGACTTGGCCGGATTTAAAATTCAAAAACCGGCCGGGGCCGGAGCCGGATTTTAGTTACCATTTTACATAAGTTAGAAAAAATACTCACATTTACGGTTATCTACATGTTGAACATGTTATTTAATTCAAATATATGAATAAGTTGTGTGATACGCCAAATTCTGTACACAAAGATCAGCTTATAATTTATGCATATTTGCATAACCCTAGTTAAAGCACAAAGAAAATTGTCCAGCTCACCGCACAATTAGTGCTGTTGTAATTATGTGTTATGTATACCTAGCCTAACCTTTCTTAAATTATGTGCTTATGTATCTCTCTCTCTCTCTCTCTCTCTCTCTAAATATATATATATATATATATATATATATTATGTAGCTATATGATCCGTCATATGCAATTATCAATATATAGTATATACGCGTGCACAAGTTCTTTTACACAAAGATCAGCTTATAATTTATGCATAACCCATGTTATAGCATAAAGAAAATTGTCCAGATCACCTCACAATTAGTGATGTTGTTATTATGTGTCATGTATGCCTTTAGCTTAGCCTTAGCCTTTAACTTATTGACATCAAATTAATTGAATTCAATAAAATTTTTTTTTCTATTTATAACATTTTTAAAAGTTGATAGACGCTTAAATCCGGCCCTAAATCCGGCCACCAAATCCGGCCACCAAATCCGGCCGGGGCCGGATTCGACCGGATTTGAAAAAAAGCCGGATTTTGGCCGGGGCCAAACTTCGGTGCATCCCTAATATATATATATATATATATATATATATATATATATATATATATATATATATATGTGTGTGTGTGTGTGTGTGTGTGTGTGTGTGTGTGTGTGTATATATATATAATATTGGATTAAGACCGTCAGAAATGCAATCACAGCATGTTCGGCGTTAGTTATCAACTTCCAATTTAACTTTTCGATTTTTCTAACGGTGATCGTAGATCATTTTCAAGTTTTTTTAGTTTTTGTTTAATATATCATGATAGAACAGAAAAGCTTTCTCCGGTATTCCTATATCATCTTCGGTGTTCAAATTGGTATGTTGTGGTTGTGCCCAGATGATCAAATATTTTTATACTGTGCCTATTTATTGGTACCTTGTTTGTTGGAAGTGAATATTTAGTTTTACAATCTTTCAACATCGTAAAATATAACACTTTTACGTGTTTTCATTATCGATAAATATAACAGTTTTATGTGTTTTAATTATCGATAAATATAACACTTTACGTGTTTTCATTATCGATGATTCCTCTGTTTCTAAAATTATTGGTAGGAAGAATTCCAATTGCCCGTTTTTGTATATTTATTATCGGATGTCTTTGTTTTATGAGTATTGATTCGGCTAGTCGTAAATTATAATGGTTGTTATTGTAATGTAAGATATATATATCTTGTGGTTCAAGATTTATCTAGTAATTTTAGTTTTTTGTTTCTCTTTCATGGGATTCTTTATAGCGCCAGTTTGTACGTTGATCGTGAGTCTTCTCGATAATTTAGTCGTCGTCATACCAATATATTCAGAATTATCAATTCTCTCACCAATATTACATTTGAACAAATATATTAGATGGACATGATCCATTATCTATTCTGGTTTACTAGTGCAGTTGTTTTTCATCACAAGAGATGACGTTCTTTGGTTGAAGTAATATACACCTGTCACTAGATTTACACGGCAGATACGTTCCTGAGAAAAACGTGTAAATCTAAAATAAAAAATTCAAGTTAAAACCGTGTAAATTTAAAAGCTTGCAGAAAATGCATAATTTTGCTATTTAACAGTTTTGATTTTTTTTTTCAATATTTATAGGTGTAATAAATAATAAATAATAAAATAAAAGTAAAATGCATTGGAAGGTTAAAATATGTAATATATTGCGGAAACACTGTTTTTTTATTTAATTACAATACATTAAACAGAAAAACAAAAAATAAAACCAAAGGTGTTTTATTATCATTCATCACTGTCAGAAATTACTCTTATTCTTTTTTTCGGAATTGAAGGTTTGAATTCACTTTCATCACTCCAAGTTATTTGTGCCGATTCGATGTTTGAAGCAGAAATATTTACATTATGAGAAATGGTAATAAAATCGGTTATTAACAATTGCTTCGAATTTTTTGTAAGATCTTTATAAACTTTTTCATATTGAGCCAAGCAAGCACGTGTTCAATCACAGTAGCTTTTAGTAGAGTGCGATAAAAACAAAGAAAAAATTTATTTGGAAAACCGTGTAAAAGCGAAAACGTGTAAAACAAGTGCCATAAAAATCGGGGGATTGGTGGATACGTAGTTTAATACTATCATTCTCGTTGATTGCTTGGACGTTATTTTTTATGATTCATTTCATAATTTTTTCGTCCTGTTCGAAAGAGGTTAACATGATTTTTATAATATATTACTATGTTATTTTTGTTATTATTGTGGGTTGCATTGTTGTTGCTGCTACATTTTGTTCTTTGGGTTCTATTATTTTCTGGATCATGGAATTTTTATATCCATTATTAATTAGTAGTTTAGTGATTCTATCTAGTTCAGTTCTCCTGCTTTTTCTATATCAAAAAAATGCGTGTAGGTTCGGTTTACAAAAGCAGAGATCGTGCTCTCTCTCTATATATATATATATATATTATATAAATTCCACCGATTTTTTAGTGTTTATCAACTTATATTCGAATTTATCAACTTGTTTTAGTAAATTTTTTTATTAACAAACATTTTATTAAAATTATTGCAGATAGATCTATTTCGACGCTTAACCATCATCGTCAGTGCATTATTTTTTTTATTTAAAGTTACAGCATTAATATTATTAGAAATATATAAGAATAAATTCGAAAAAGGAACATAAAATCTAACGAAAAATTTTAACAACGATTAAAATTTCTAAAATATTTGATCGTTAGTTGTCAAGGTGGCAACAACAGCGTTAAAATTGTGAGAAATTATTAATTATTTATCATTATTATCATTGTTGTTATTATTATTATTATTGTCATTTTTATTATGGTCATTATTATTATTATTATTATTATTATTATTATTATTATTATTATAGTGTCCAATACTCCGCACAATCCTTCATCAGTTACTGGTTGAATGTTGGAGAACGTCATCGATTCCCTCCTGCTGGAGAAGAGGGCTGACAATTCTGATTTACAAAAAGGGAGATGCCAACGACCCAGCGAATTTCAGGCCAATAACACTTCAAC